AGTAAAAATAACACAAGCAGAATACGGCAGCATACATACCTCAAGTTAAAAAAATAGGATCGGCACGCTACGGGACATCAAAATCCTATATCGGCACAGTGCTGCTAAAAGGTTGCCTACCCCTGACCTAGGCCAAGCATATCAAACTTGCGGCCAACAAGATATTTCCTGTCTGATTCTTGTCTTCCTTCCCACGGCCTATCGCGTGCTCCTGCAGGCCAGCCACTCCCCCTTCCCTCCTGCTCACAGTGCCATAGTCTAGCCTGCTTGAGCAAAGAAGAGCAGGGCTGGTACTGGAGGATGGGCGGCTCATCTTAAGGTAGTGGAAAAGGGGCTTGGGGGATCTTCCTGTGTAGTATGTTAAATTGGCGAGGGGAGGGCAGTGGATTAATTTGGGGGAGGGAGGGAGGGAGGGAGCCAGTGGATTAGATTGGGGGTGGGAGGTAGTGTATTAATTTGAGGGGGGTTGCTGTGTATTAATTTGGGGAAGGTAGGGGGCAGTGTATTAGAGTGTTGTGGGGGACTGTGTATCAAATTAGAGTCCTTGGAGGAGGGGCAGTGTATTCAATTAGAGTGGAGGTAGGAGGGGCAGTGTATTGGATTTGGGGGCAATGCACTGGAATTGTGGGTGGTTCATTAGAATGGGGGTGGGGCAATGTATTGGATTTGGGGCAATGTATTAGAATGGGGTAGGGGGCTGTATATTAGATTGGGTCTGCATATAGGCTCTGAACTCTCCCAAAGGAGATGCTGATTAGCTGCACAGTTTTTTGCCACACATGCACAATAGCCTACCATGCTTTCCTATTGGAAAGCATTGGATTGGCTAAGATCATCAAGTTTGATGATCTCAGTCAAAGTGAAGAACACTCATAAGAAAACAAGAAAACGTCATTTGTTTTTTGCAGCTGTGTAACAGCATACATTCACCCTTTCAGTCCCGTTACCAAACATCTTAATATGTCAACGTATTTGGACTGAGACATGGTTATATGCAAATGCACGTCTCCTTAAAATAAATTAGCTGTTTTGTTTACTTTTGAAGCCCTATAAGCGTAAGGACATCCAGTGTCAGTTAGGCAACTTTTTTTTTATACTGTACTTTTATAAATAAACCCAGTTTATGTGGCTCACATAAACTTAAACCTTGTTGATTTGGCTCATGTTAGCCTTTGAGTTTGACATGCTTGACCTAGGCTGTACGACTTTGCACAGTTTGTTTTTTACTTTGTATGATAACTTGGCCTTCTACTGAACTCTTACTTTGAGATGATCTGTACCATCAGTTGACAAACTATAGATTATTCAACCAATGTTTTAGCATATCTTGTGTGGATAAATATACATTACCAATGCAGTTATTTAGTCCCTAATCTGCAGTTACGATTACATTTGAAGCTTGAGGATAATTTTGGGTTGATAACACCCCCCATGTTCTCTCTCTATCCCAGAAACTTTTTTTCGCTCATAAATAGTCCAGAGACAAAATTACAAATTTATTTCGCCAGGGTCGAAACGTCAATTGATTTTTGTACACATCTAATGGATTAATAAAACAAAATTTTTTTCACTTTGATGAAGACCTGTGAGTGCATCCTGTTTTTGTATTTTTGTATATTTTTGGCATTAAGGATATAGCACACAGGCAAAATATCTTTATATTTATACAAGGAGAGTGCCAAGCGTCCACTTCTTTATTATATATACATACACACTGCTCAAAAAAATAAAGGGAACACAAAAATAACACTTCCTAGATCTGAATGAATGAAATATTCTTCTGAAATACTTTGCTCTTTACATAGTTGAATGTGCTGACAACAAAATCACACAAAAATTTAAAAATGGAAATCACATTTTTCAACCCATGGAGGTATGGATTTGGAGTCACACTCAAAATTAAAGTGGAAAAACACACTACAGGCTGATCCAACTTTGATGTAATGTCCTTAAAACAAGCCTAAATGAGGCTCAGTAGTGTGTGTGGCCTTCTCATGGAGTCTGTTTCTGACCGTTTGAGCAGACACATGCACATTTGTGGCCTGCTGGAGGTCATTTTGCAGGGCTCTGGCAGTGCTCCTCCTGTTCCTCCTTGCACAAAGGTGGAGGTAGCGGTCCTGCTGCTGGGTTGTTGCCCTCCTACAGCCTCCTCCACGTCTCCTGATGTACTGGCCTGTCTCTTGGTAGCGCCTCCATGCTCTGGACACTACGCTGACAGACACAGCAAACCTTCTTGCCACAGCTCGCATTGATGTGCCATCCTGGATGAGCTGCACTACCTGAGCCACTTGTGTGGGTTGTAGACTCTGTCCCCTGTTATCACTAGTGTGAAAGCACTGCCAGCATCCAAAAGTGACCAAAACATCAGCCAGGAAGCATAGGAACTGAGAAGTGGTCTGTGGTCACCACCTGCAGAAGCACTCCTTTATTGGGGGTGTCTTGCTAATTGCCTTTAATTTCCACCTGTTGTCTATCCCATTTGCACAACAGCATGTGAAATTGATTGTCACTCAGTGTTGCTTCCTAAGTGGACAGTTTGATTTCACAGAAGTGTGATTGACTTGGAATTACATTGTGTTGTTTAAGTGTTCTCTTTATTTTTTTGAGCAGTGTATATATATATATACACACACACCACATTTTTTTTATTTCAAAAATGTTGAATTGAAAAAAAATCTTGTAACTAGATATAAAAAAGCTAATTTATAACTGAACTGTGGCTTGGAAGAATATACAGGGTTATTTTCTAGTGATTATTTTTTAAACATAGAAGCATAGATAATTATTTTCAAACACAGGCTGACACCCATATACACTCGAATGAACAAATATACACAGACACTTATACACACACCCTTGTGCTGTGAGCACTTTAAATGTCTCCCTCTGGCCCTGGTAAGTCCCCCTGCAGCCCTGCCTTCCTATATTTCAGCACAAGACCCTCCAGTAGTTGCATTGGCTGCACCACCGGTTGTTCTGTGCCTGCACAGCCCAACCCACTGACAGCAAAACAACCTGCAATAAAAGCAGAGGACTTCCAGGAAGACGTGTTTAGGATAGCTCTAGCTGTTTGTAGTTTGACTGCAGCCTGTGAATTAAAAGCAGCTTGCATAGTGCTGTTAGGGGCTGGGCTGTGTGCATACATTTAACAAGGAAGAATTTCTGGCTTTTTAAACCCCACCCCCCAAAAAAAATCAGCATATTAATAACTTCAAAACCTATAAAATTCATTAACGTTGTATTGGTGCATGGAACGGCTTTTTAAGTATAAAAACTGCTTAGGCTAGTAGAATTTGCAATTTCGTGAAATGAAAAAGGAACACGCTGTCACACACAATTCACTCCAGCAGGCTGAAGTGCTTTGTGTGTTTGGACTGCTCGTCCAGTATCCACAGCCTCCTTGATGTGTAGTGACTGTTTAATCATTTGCTCCTGAGCAGTGGCGTACACACAATCCATGGGGCCCCGAAGCGAAACTGATTCTTGGGCCCCCGCCTCTTCCCCCCACTCCCTCCCTCCGACAGACACACACACACACACATACAGACAGACACACATACATAGGACACACACACATACAAACAGATAGACAGACACACACACAGACAGGCACACAGACAGACAGGCACACACACAAACGACACACATACAAACAGACAGACACACACACACAAACGACACATAGAGACATACATACAGACAGGCACACATACAGACACTCACTCAAACATACATACACACACACAGGCACACATACATACAGACAGACGCACACAATGTTTAAGTCACCCTCCTGTTTCCTACCTTTTAGGTGCAGGAGGGTGACTTTCCCTGGGGTCCAGTGGTGGCTCAGCTTGATGGGAGTCAGAGTTCCCACTCTTACTTCCTGTTCTTCCTCCCGCGCGGGCTCTATCTGATTGCTGGGAGGAGTGACGTGCAGTCACAGGGGGCCAGGTCACGTTGTTAAAGTGCTCAGGGCTGACCCGGCTCCCTGACAATCCATATCCATCGGGTGGCCCTGACAGCATGGGCCACCCGATGGACCCCTTGGATGGCGGCCCCGGCGGCTTGCCGCGTGGGCCTGTGCCGCAAAAGAGGGCGGGTACCCGGTCCCAGGGGTCCGCAGTGCGGCCGGGCCCCCTGGAGTGCCGGGCCCGGTCGCAGCTGCGACCCCGGTATGTACGCCTCTGCCCCTTAGTGGTTACCATGTATAGGTTATTCACCAAACTCAGCCTGGCTTATTTAAGGGCATAGCATTGCCAGAGAAGCATTGATCATGCTCAGCCTAATCCCTCGTGCGATTGTGGGTTGTGTGGGCTGAGCCAACATGTTATTACCCCAAGCAATTTGTACTGATTCCTCATGCTATATTAACAATCACCTTACTCTAATGTTCTTGCCTAACACCTTACTTAAAAAATCACAGTTCATTATTTCTCGCTTTTACATCTCCTCATATACACATGTTCTGCTGATGAATACGCTAGCCTTTCTTGTGTAATAAACAGTGTTGTATATCTTGTCTGAACTGTGCAAAAATAAAGATTTAGAGAAGAGAAAAAAAAATCCATATACCCTGAAAAAGGAGTATTAAAAAATAAATAAAAATAATGCAGGTGCATTTTTAATACTTGATAGAACGGAAATGGGGTTTATCAGTATTATTAGTTCCCATATGTATGAAAGCAGACCATTTTGTGTCATTATTATATACACAGGGAATTCCCTGGTGGCCTTCCCAGATGCACTGCCTGATTTTAAAACAAACTTTCTAGGCACACCTATTCTCATATATCAACATATGTATCAGGTAATCAGACAGGAATCTACTTGTGTAAGGATAACAGTGCTTCATAGAACAATCAATATTATGGAATTACAATGATCTGCATGGGGCAAGTGAGTGATAGCTTGTACAAAGGGATTTCTACAACAATTCCCAGATTTTACTATTAACATGACGTAAAGTCATGATTTTATTAATGACACGGAGGCGAGTATTATGCTTTCTCTTTCCTTTAATTTCCCTCAGCAGAGAAGAGAGAGATGTATACAGAAGAGAAAAAAAACAAAAAACATAACATTGCAACCAATCAGCAGCTGGTATATACGGTGTAGCAATCCACCACTCTTCCTCTTTCCGTAGTGATCCGAAGACCAGCAGAAAAACCGAAGACTGTAGAACTGTAAACTGGATAGTAGACGTATGTCCTTCCTCCGTGGGATAACGATTCAACTTTCTCAAGGTTTCCGAACTGTGGCGTATGCTTTTGCGCTAAGAAGAAAAAAATAAATATGGTAACAACGAAATGCATGGTTCGATTTTCGTGTGTATCTCTCTCAATATGTGATGTACTACCAAGAAAAACTATTCAAAGTCATACAACATCACAAACCAAGTATCCTTTACCTAATATTCATGCCAAGAACCTACTGTGTATACTTTCCAATACAGATCCTAATATATGTTGTTCAGTAAAAAAAATTTAAAAAAATACCAAGGTCCCAACTCGAAGGAGTGTGGGAATACTGGCCTCCGTGTCATTAATAAAATCATGACTATGTCATGTGAATCATAACATCTGGGAATTTTATTAAAGTCATGGAGGCTCCTATTATGCTAGTTTAAATCTGAGCCACAACTAACTGAGAAGTATTAAATAGGTATGAAGTAGTAACTTCAGAAAGTGGTTTCCGTAGATCAATCTGCAGCCTTCAATATATCTTCCAATCTACAACCTATCGTCGATGCCTTCGAGGTCATAGAACCTCTGACAGAATGAGAGAAGATTGTGGTATCAATCCCGGCTGAGGTTAGCAGCCATTTGGCCCAGCAAGCCAGAGTAGATGTAGACACCGGTAAGTGAGGTTTCTTGAATGAGATGAACAATGGGCTGTCTTGTGATGGGCGCAACTCATATTCCTTCAGACATGCCATCAGGCACAGGTTCGGCTGACCTGGGAATCTAGGATAGAAGACATTCTTAGTCACAGACTTCGTCGAAGGATACTCCTGGGACGAATACCCGGGCTCCCCAATCCAAAGCTCTGACGTCAGATACTCGTTTGCATGAGAGTAAAGAAAACAGCACAAGTAATTTGGCCGTTAACAGTTTCAGAGATAACTATGTTTTCGGGCCAGGTGTCTAGGAGGTTGAAAAAATCACATTCACGTCCCAAATGATCCATATTTAGGCTTTGACCAAATGCCCTTGAGTAGTAAATCCATGGGTTTTGTCTGATTGGGAGACAATCTAAACCCTTATGTCCTGCCGAGATTGCTGACCGGAATAGATTGATGGTACTAAAGGCTTTTCCCAATTCGAAGAGGTGAGTAAGAAAATTCAATACCATCTTTACAGGAGCCGATATAGGATCCACTGACCGTTCCAGACACCAATCAGCCCACGTTTTCCCTGCTGCGTGGTAGGAATGTAGTGTTCCTGGTGCCCAAGCGCTTGCCAGGAGTTGGGTAGTTGTGTATGAAACATCCAGGGTCCCTGGAAATGCTAGTAGGCGTAGAAGGCCCTGGTCTATGAGTCCGTGACTCTCCCCATCCAGATTGGTCAGGAGTATAGTCTATTGCCATCTCCAATAGGTGTGGGAACCAAGGTTGCAACCTCCAGAATGGGGTTATCAGGACTATCGTGCCTCTACTCAGACTCTGGCATACCTACGACACGGCAATCAGGTTGAACGGAGGGAAGGCATACAACCAGTTTGTAGACCAATCTTGAAGGAACACATCTGTTGCCACAGCTTCCGGGTCCGGCCTCCAACTGAAGAAGTTGAATGTCCATCTGGATGCAAAGAGGTCCACTTGTAAAGTCCCCCCAGAGGTGGGCAACCTCCCTGAATATAGATGGCTGAAGTTTCCAATCCCCCATGTCCTTCAGGTAACGGGAGTTCCAGTCTGCTGTTTAATTCTCCAGACCTGGGATGTGTTCTGTTGTCACCGATACCTTGTGTTGTAGACAATGGCAGAAGTCTCGGGCCAATATTGCTAATATTCGTGATTTGGTTCCACTCAGGTGATTGATGTAGCAGACGGCGAAAACATTGTCTACTTTGAGGAGGATCGAACAAGAGATGTTCTTGGGAGAGAGACTGCAAATGGCAGTCCAGGCAGTTGATATGCAGAAAAGATTAGTCTGTGGACCATCTGTCTCCGATGGAAATGGGACTGCAACGTGAGCCCCAGCCATGTAAGCTCGCGTCTGATTCTATCACGAGATCTGGGGTGGATCAGAGTATTGCTCACCAGGTTAATTCTTCTCTGGACTCCTCGTCTAGCGAAATGCGTGTTTCGTATGAATGGCCACTTCTTAAGTAGGATGCTTTCAGTCTCTGCAAAGCCCTGTAGTGTAATGGGCCCGGGAAAATTTCCTGGATTGAGGCGGTGAACAGAACGATGACTCTCGCTAGTTGCCGCATGGATATGTTCGGGCGGTTCATCAACTGTTTTATCTCCTTTTTGATGTTCAGTTATGCTATACCTTTTGAATATTATACAGATGATAATAGGGAAACACTCCTCAAACTACGTCAACACCAGTCTGCATGGGTGACATACGAATGGCTATGCTGATTCATGCACTTTTCGCATCACTATTATCCTGTCAGAGTGGAAACAAGAACAGGATTTGTCAGACAAAGAAAGATTTTCCATTTCTGAGCTGTGTTTAAAGGGGACTGTGATTTGACTGATTATGCTCTGAAAGGCTGAAGGATTCTGCTTATCCCTACCAGGGTCCGGTGATCTAAAAACTCCCATCTCCACTAATTTGACACAGCTGTCCACACACTCTGAACACCAAACCATGCACACTTGCACAGTCATGGCTCCTGCAGTGTGATGTGGTGTGCACCTGACAAAGATATAGACAACACGCTTCCTGCTCTTAAAGATCTCATTTTATTGTCAACAAGCGAATTCAACAGATTAAAATAGGAGCTTTATACCATGATGCATACAAACAAATGGTGGTAGCCTTACTACCACCACTTGTTTGTATGCAAAATGGTATAAAGCTCCTATTTTATTAATCTGTTGAATTAGCTTGACAATAAAATGACGGGGGGGGGAATGGGGGTATGATAGAAACATTTAAATACATAAAGGTAATCACAGTAAAGGAGGAGACTATATTTAAAAGAAGAAAAACTACCACAACAAGATGATATAGTCTTAAATTAGAGGGGCAAAGATTTTAAAAATAAATATCAGGAAGTATTACTTTACTGAGAGGGTAGTGGATGCATGGAATAGCCTCCAGCTGTAGTGGCAGAGGTTAACACAGTGAGTAGTTTAAGCATGCGTGGAATAGGCATAAGGTTTTCCTAGCTATAAGATAAGGCCAAGGACTAATGGAAGTATTTAGAAAATTTGGCAGACTACATGGGCCGAATGGTTCTGCCGTCACATTCTGTGATGCACACAAAATGGGTAAAATTGGTTGGGAACACTTACGATATATTCCTCTTATGCAAGGCTCTAAAAATTACCTTCGGCACTACAGATATGGTGGACTACATCCCCCATAATGCTCTTACACCAATAATGCTGGCAAAGCATCATGGGAGGTATAGTCCAAAACATCTGGAGTGCTGAAGGTTGCCTATGCCTGCAAGTCTAGCCCAATGCCCTCAGCATGTCAACTATGTAAATTCTGTGTTTTCAAGCTGGCTGAAAAAAGGCAGTGGGTACAACGCAAAACTAAAGATTGCGGGACTATGATATATACTTTTGGCAGCATTGTCACCACACTGGGTTAGAGTGGTTAAGGTTTTAAAGTGATGTTTTTATATGTGTAGCTTTTAAAGGAAAAGTGTCAATTTTTTTATTATAAATTATAATATGTACAATATAAACACACTGGGTGTATTTATGTAGTGTATAATAATAAATACCTTCTCATTGTACATCATGCCTTACTTCATTCTCCACTAACACTGCCATCTTTAAAGGCCCACTATGCATCATAGCCAGTACAGTTTCTGCAGTCCATGGGTACGGTCATCTCTTCTTTTATTAAACCTTTCTATCAAACCATTTTGGAGAAGTGTAGCAACAACTAGGACTCTCCCCAGTCTCCAAAGCAACTCTGCAGCCATTCGGATAATGTAATGTTTTACTCCTGCATTGTCTGTCCAGCCTTGCATGTTAGACTGAGTGCTCTGGACTGTCAGGTTCTTACCTGATGTAGAGTCCGACGTGCAGAGTTATATGCTCACCCTTGCAAATAAACACAGACCAAGGTGACCAGGTAAGAAGCCACCTGGACTGTGAGTCTGTGCACAGGGGCTCTGCAGTAAATAGCTCCAAGTCGCAATACAGGCAATGACAAGCAGAAGAGTAGTCGTGGAAAGCCAAAGTCAGGGGAAGCCAGAGGTCAGAATAAATGATGCGATAAACAAAGAGCCATCTGGAGAACACTGGATCAAGAACACAAATACAGGAACCAGCATCAATGAACTAACACTGCCCTCAGAGAGAGGCAGTGTTTTATACCTGGCTAATTAGCGATAAGCTTCAGGTAGGCCGAGCAAAACAGCAGGCCCAGGACACAGAAGGATCCAGGTTCATATCCCCTGTTGGGCACTTCTGGGGTGACCACGTCTGGATGCGTGACACTCTCGCGCTCTCGGTCTATCTTTGCCATTCAATGTTAATTAAATAATCTGGAAGTATAACATCTACATTATTTAAACAACTGAAGACAGGCTGCACTTTGGGTACCAAGTCGAGCAGTTTGACAGAAAGCCAGGGGAAATGATAAATAATATAGGAAGAGCAGAAACATTCACACAATGTGGGTTCATTCACAACCACCGAAATGCTGTAATTTTAAAACAGAATTGCACAGTTTAAGCAAAAATCAGTGACTATAACAGAATTGGAGAGTTTAGCTCAAGTGTTCCATTCAGCTTCAATTTGATACAATTCTGACTTCAGCAAATAAACCCAAAAGTGATCTGGCCTAGCTTACTTGCACTAATTAATGGCAGTATTAATGCCTAGCTTTTCATAGGCATTTTATGTTTACTGGATTTGAAAATGTATATTATTCACAGCATAAGATTTATACGAACAATAAAGATTAGAGAATGAGCCTGTTTGTAATATAACAATAATATCTATTCACATCATCTCTGTAAATATAAATAATGTTAACAGGCATACACTCAAGTTAAAAAATACTGTTGTGTAGAACAGTTTTGTGAGGCACAGCGTGCCATAAGTCAGCTATAAGTGTGGCACAAACACATGGACTTTGGAGTTTTAATCGATGGAATGCAGGCTTTCAATTATTTTATTTTTTTAAATCATTGTCAGAATTAAAGGAACACTGCAAGTTGCACTACAGCGGTCAGTAGTTGTTATTGTGCCCCCCATTGTAAGTGATTAAACTTTTTTAGAATGATTTGATTTCTTACCTGGCATCCACCATGCCTTCACTACTTGTGACAGTGAGATGGAAGCTCTCTCTTTGAGCTAAGACTGGCAGTGCAGGGATTAGCTCATTGGCTGAGATCGAGTTGCTAAGCAGAAGCTTCCATGTCTCTGTTCACTGTAGTGCAGGTGTGGAGCGCAGTCTGGCGCACCCCAGGTAAGATGTCAAACGCTATAGTGGTTACGGTGTTTGGAGTGTTCCTTTAAAATTGAGACCCTTATCTGGCATTCTATTATACCTAATAGGTCAGTGCTAGAAGTGTGATATCTTAGTAGTAAGGTTAATGTGACATTTACAACCTGGTAATTGAAGGAACACTCCAAACACAACAGCCCACTCTGTAGAGCAAAGTGAGCAGGTGCAGGACTCAGGGCAGCTATCAATATAGGTGATACAGCATATATGTGCATATATAATTGCTATATGTATACTGTATACCCCCGGGCCACTAGCTGCATGTAGACTCTTGCGAGTCTGGCATTTGCTGGGCCTCCTCTTTCCTCTACAGCAGCTGCAACCTGCACAATGTCACAGGATCACCAGGGAATGTAATGTCTGCACTCCCTGGCCACAGGTAAGTGGCAGGTAGTAGATAGAAAATAAAAAGTAAAAAAATATACTTTTGCCCAAAGAAAACAGTCCCTATCCTACATCCACTTCACACACCGCATCTGTGAAGAAACTGGAGACAATTAGCCAAAAGAACTATTAAAGAACTACCTTGTTGTGGCTCCTTACCCCTTCAGCAGACACTCCCAGCCCAAGCACCCTGGAATCGGACCACCCGGTTGCCTAAATATGTTGGACAGTGCTCCGCGGGAAAAAATGATACCTCGGGCCAGCCATGTGGTACTGTTCCTTAGACTGAAACTAAGCCCTGGACGGTCAAATCTTTAACCAGGTGGTGTTTCTACCATGGACATGGGATCAGGACGCTATTTTGCCAAATAGGGTGCACAGGGACAAACCATCCGAGGATAACAAAGGAATAGGGGGGTTATTACTGTTTTCGTGATATTTTTAGGGATATTCGTGGTAGGCTCCTGTGTGTCTGGAGGTAGATTAAATTAGTGGCATTTGATCTGCTTATTTCACAGACACAGAGGCCTGAGTGGGACCTCTATTGTTGAGTTAATGACCCCCTACCAGGGGTCTGTGCATAAAAATGTGTGTAAAACCTAATAAAGTATTTGGGTTTTCAACCTTCAACAAGCCTGGGCTTATGTTTGGGTGAGCTGCTATTAATCACCATCTACGTTGCAAGATTAAGAGTATTGGAGCTCCGCCACAGCATCCACCACACTAACACACTGCATCCACTATAAAAAGACACACATTCTGATTCCACTATACTCACTGCATCCAGTACACACAAATACGTCATCCACTTTACACACGCACACTGCATCCACTACACAAACACTGTATTCACTACACATCCTCTGCATCCACTACACACACACACTCTCTGCATCCATCAACTATAAACATACTGCATCCATTACACACACAGACTCTGTATACACTCTGCAACCGGTAAACTTGCTGCATCCACTAAACACACACCATATCCACTATACACTCTGTGCATCCACAAAACACACACTCTACATCCAATATACACAAAATCTTAATTCACTATACACATTGCATCCACTAAACAGAGCTTACATCCACTACACAAACGCACTCTGCATCCACTCTGCACACACTGTATCGTTGTGGGCAGACGGATGCCCAGACATTGAGCTGTGTAAGGGTCCCCACAATTTCTGATGGCAGTCTTGCACTTATTGGCTAAGACTGCTCAGCAGATGCTCTCAAACAGTGATTATGTTTCTGTAGTGCTGTAAGCAGTGAAACCCATCTTCTCCTGGATTTGGCACAGACACTTCCCAGGACTCGGGTAAATTATCACACTGTACTAAAACAGGTTGACACCTTACTGTGGGAAGGAGCCAGGCAGTAGCATTGATAGGCGGCAATAAGACCAGGGAATTTAGCTAAAACGTAAATTCTATTGCTCCTTTCACATATATTGACTTAAATCCCTCCTACGAGTCCTATACTGTGCCGTAAGTCCATCCTTAAAACCTACTCTGTTATGTGAATCCGATTGTGACACCAAATCTTGGACTTAATTCAGAGTCATGAATCTATATTTATATACTCTGGAGCTACTGTATTGCCCCCTAACCATGCTGTATTAACCCATCACCCCACTGCATTACACCAGTGCACTCACAGCAATACCCCCACACTGTGCTGTATAGTTATTAACTGCAAATAAGGGGCAGTAAAGTAGCACTGTCTCAAATTATGTGATTTTTAGGTGTTATTTCTCTCAGTATTACAGGAGGCCCTCAGCTAACAGTGACACGGTGCCAATATTAGACTATGGACGCTTTCAGGACCCCGCTCCGGGCTCCAGCCCATGTTAACCCAACCCCAGTACTCTTGCCACCATAACAACTTCAGTGGGCTGTTGTAGTTATGGGTTTGGAATTGTTTTGTTAACTTAAAAAAATAATTATATTAAATTGTGTACTTTGGACCTTTTTCTCTCACCTATTATTATATATCAAGCACCAATAAATTCCATAGTGCTGTACAACAGGTTAAGGCCAGGTACCATTGGTGTATAATCTGAGGGATAGCATGATTAAAATATTTGTGTTTATGTCAATAGTTTACATTCAGTATATATATATATGTTTATGCACACAGATAGATTGATAACATCAATAACAGTACTCCAGTATTTGGTCATATTTTTTATTGAACGAACAAAACACAATATATTAGGATATTATTCCTCCAGGTTATAAATGCTACATTGTGGTTAATGGATCAGTAATATAATATAAGAACATTTATGGGGAGAACTTTGAATTATAGCAAATGGCGCCTAAAATGTTTGAACGGTCAACCTAACTGTACTTCTTCCTCGAGCGCCTAACCTGCTGTTAAAATCCTGCGGTGCCATTGGCTGGCCATAGTGTTGACGTTTACCATTCCGCCGCCTGCCATTGGGGATCAAGCCCGTCAATGGGACGCAAGGGGGCGGGACCAGCGCCCAAGAGGAAGGGAGAGGCCGTTCGAATTCCCTCCTTCGCCACATTCCAGTTTCTCCCCTCCCCCACACTCCACCTCCGTGGCGAGGGCGGGACCACTCGAACGCTCATTGGTCCGCACGGCCTGTCCGTCAACGGCCTAGGCCCGCCCGCCGCGCCACCCCATTGGGCGGGTGGAGCCGCCCCCTCCGCAGGAGTGGCTACGTTCGCTGTCGATCTCCGCCCGTGGCCCCGCCTACCATTCCCCTCCGTCTCCGCCGCGCGGCAGGCAGGTTACATTGCTGTCTTGAGAGGAAAGGTTCTGTGTGAAGCGCCCCCCCCCACCCCCTCATAGGACAAGATGAGCGGTAAGTACCGGGCGGGCGGGCCGAGTCCCGGGTAGGCGGGCATGATACCCGCTTATTACGCGCCCCTCTCATTACCCGGGCTGGGGAGGGGTGTCCGGCCCGGTGGGCTGTGGGGGAGGGGGCGGTCGGTACCGGGCGGTGTCATGGCGCACTTACCGCCCCCCAGTCCATAGCCCCGCGCGCCCCGTGTCCCCGATACACCGCTCCAGGGGGAGGGGGCGGCCATCCCCCTCCCCCCGCTCTCTCCTCCTCTGCCGCCCTGTTTTTCTGCCCCCCTGGGTGGGTAGGTAGGTGGGTGGGGTGCTCGCGGCCAGGCCCCCCCCTGTGTGTGATGGATTCCCTGTGGGAGCGGATACAGTGTCCGTGTCAGTCAGTGTGTGTCAGTCAGTCAGTGTATATAAAATGTCCGCCCGGGGCTCCCGGCCTCCATTTTCTGTCTCCAGTGTGTACAGTCACCCAGCAGGCCCGCTGCGCTCTCCTCACTCCCGGAAGTGGAGTCCCTGCCCCCCGCCATGTTGCCTTCCCTCTCCCCGCTGAGGGCCTGGCTGCCATTAACGCTCTTATCTCTCTTACATGGTGACCCGCAGACCAGGAGCACACATCCGAAGACCTGACTGGAGGCAAGTCCGACAGCCGCTCAGGAGGAGGAGGATACACGCAGAAGGGGCAGGTATGGGCACCCACCATTCATCTCCCTAATATAGCTGGATCCTGCCTATCCAGCCCTCCCCCTCCTTCACACACACACTCTGTATTATGGCAGGTGGGTGGAGGGGGGAGTTGTCTTTCCTGTGGCCTGTAGATTATGCTCCCACCCTGTGGTTGCCAACCCACCCTGCTGACTGCCCATTTGAGGCAGGATCCAGAAACCCATCCTCCTTGTCCCTCCTGTTCTGTGACTTGATTCCCTCGACATGCTGTTTTGTTTATGTGTTGGTGCCTTTTGGGGTGTTACATGTGTTGGTACATAAACTGTGTGGTTTTAAAATAAATATATGTGTATGTATGTATGTATATATGTGTGTGTGTGTGTGTGTGTGTGTGTGTGTGTGTGTATATATATATATATATATATATATATATATATTTATTTATGGGTCTTTTGTTGGAAAGTACAGTTGTGCTAAAGGTTACCATCTCTTAGCAAAGTGGTTAAATCCAGTAACATTAACTTTTTTTCTCTTCTACATCTAACTCCTTGAATAATGAGCTTGAGTCAAAATGTTGTTGTTTTAGCATCCTAACAAGTCATCAGACACAGCACTCAATAAATATTGTTTCTTATTAAAATGTTCGCAGCATGAAGTGTCAATATGTATGCTTGTGTTTTATGCAGGGACATATGTTTGGAGGCAACCTCCAATAAGTATACGGTGTCATTGTTTTTTTTTTTTTTTTTATCTAGTCTTTAATTTTAACACCCCACCCCCCCTCTTATTTTGTGTTTCTGTTTTCTTAGCTTTTTGACTGCAGGGTGGTGTCTTGTACATACTCCTCTATGAGCTGTTCACCGCTAGGCTTTTACTATTGCAAAGATGAGCTCTGATGGATCAATAAATTTGTGGGGGGTGGTATGTGCTCTCCATTTACACACATGGTTAATGAGACATACCAGTGGGATTTACCAGTATAATTCATTAGGTGTATTAAAATACACATGAATAAATACTGCCACACTGTTTCATGCAGCAGACTTGCTTTAGTCATGATTCAAGGAGTGCTGTGGAACTTCACCTGTGTAATTTGTCAAACAATTTTACAACCATTTGTCAATTTGCCTTGGAACTTGCACATGCAGCCCCTGATTCCAGGCTCTTTGCGGTAGATTCTGATTAGCTCCATAGAGCTAAGCAGGAACAAACACAATAGCTGATTGTATTAACTGAGCATTCTCAGCCAATGAGTAAGGAGGTCCTGAATTGGCCAAGCTTTGGGGTTTGTTTTTTTTTGGTAAGAATAGTCTAGGCTAGGTGCCTGTACAATGGTATATGGGTGAAGGCTCGGTGAGCATGGAAGTAAAGAGGTTGTTTGGATTAAGGCTGGAGGTGTTTTGGGTACACATTCATTGCGTATATAGATGCAGAGGGTTATTATAGAGAGGCCTGATCTATAAATCTGCTTTATTAAACTCAAGTTGTTTTGGTGACTATAGTGTCCCTTTAACAAATCCAAATTGTAAACATTTTCAAGCATCCAGCTGCATGTTAAGACCCGTTTGTGTTATATTTCCGCCCCTACTTAGTCAAAGGACAGGTTCTGCAGACTTGCTTACCAATACTTACAGGATCAAGATAAACTTAAAGGACAACTCTAGGCACCCAGATCACTTCAGCTTAATGAAGTGGTCTTGGTGCCAGGTCCAGCTAGGGCTAACCCATTTTTTGTTGTTATTTTTTTTTTTTATATATAAACTTAGCAGTTTCAGAGAAACTGCTATGTTTATAAATGGGTTAATCCAGCCATCAAATCCTCTAGTGGCTGTCTCATTGACAGCCGCTAGAGGTGCTTGCGTGATTCTCACTGTGAAAATCACAGTGAGAACACGCAAGCGTCCATAGGAAAGCATTGTAAATACTTTCCTATGAGACCGGCTGTGCGCGCAGCTCCTGCCGCGCATTCAGCCGGAGAGGAGAAGGAGTTCCCCGCCTGGCGCTGGAGAAAGGTGAGTGTTTAACCCCTTCCTCTCCCCAGAGCTTGGCGGGAGGGGGTCCCTGAGGGTGGGGGCACCCTCAGGGCACTAAAGTGCCAGGTAAACGAGTGTTTTCCTGGCACTATAGTGGTCCTTTTAAAGTATCATACCCATTACGTAATGCTATAGTAGTTTAATGGACTGTCACAGCATTATGTGTCTATTGTAGCACAGTTTGACACTTACCTGGACCTCATCAGACTTCCTATCTTTTTAAGCATTATATTCAGGGGCTGGTGTGGGTGTTAATTTTCTGAGGGAGTCTTTCTGATCTCTCCCAGCCATTGAATGAGTTCATGTCTTCAATAAACTTGCATTAGCCTTTTCTGCTTAAAGGACCACTCTAGGCACCCAGACCACTTCAGCTTAATGAAGTGGTCTGGGTGCCAGGTCCAGCTAGGGTTAACACATTTTTTTTTTAATAAACATAGCAGTTTCAGAGAAACTGCTATGTTTATAAATGGGTTAATCCAGCCCTCAAATCCTCTAGTGGCTGTCTCATTGACAGCCGCTAGAGGCGCTTGCGTGATTCTCACTGTGAAAATCAATGAGAACACGTAAGCGTCCATAGGAAAGCATTGTAAATGCTTTCCTATGAGACCAGCTGTGCGCGCAGCTCCTGCCGCGCATGCGCCTTCAGCCGAATGGGAGGAGAGCTCCCCGCCCGGCGCTGGAGAAAGGTAAGATTTAACCCCTTTCCTCACCAGAGCTCGGCGGGAGGGGGCACCTTCAGGGCACTATAGTGGTCCTTTAAAAAAATAATAATAAATCTTGCGTAATCAAATTCAGTGGAAATTCTGTCAAAAGCAATATTCTTTAGAAGAAAGTTAGATTAAAAAAAAAATTTTTTTTAGACCTATTTACTAGGACCTGAACTTTCAGGTGCTGTTATGTGAGTGATTTCTATGATAATGGAGTAGTTAGGTGGGTGGTATGTAATACAAAGGGAAGTTCAGAGGCTGTTCATAGAAACCGCAACATTGTCAAGCCTTTATTTAGTAATTTTATTTTTCTTCTAATGCGGTTTGACCACTGAGTGGTGGCGTGTCAGAGCCTTTCTGGCAACATATTCACTACAGTGCTGTGGAGTGCTAATGCCAGGGCCATTATTTGCCAGGTACTTTTTTTCTTACCTGTATTGCATTATGTCAATGCAGTTTTAATGGCATGAGTGTAGGTTCACTATGGTCAATTACCTACTGCATCAAATTTAATTTTAACATGCAAGGAATAGATACCATAATTGATCAATTGTTGATGTAAATGTGAGGACCTATGGACTTGAAAGGCTTTGAGCTTTTACATAATCACACTTAAGGGCTGGACTATCATCTTCAGTGTCTTTTTGGTAATTAAACCTTCACATTGCTTGTCTTTTATATAGCTAGTTAAATATTATGCATTGTCTGTGTATAAATGTATGTATAATTTAGCCTCTTCTAACTCCAATACATCTGTTAAGTGGTTTTTCGTATGGAAGTCATTGTGCCTTGAACGTGAACACATGTTAAAATTTACTTTTTTTCTTAAAACATTTTGCAGGACTCTCAGCCCTCCCCTTTGGCTTTATTGGCTGCTACATGTAGTAGAATTGAACCCCCAGAAAATGGTAATGGAGGCCAGCAGCAAAATGCAACGGAGCTAGATTTAAGTACTGCTCAAATTCAACAGACAGCCAATGGATGGCAAATCATATCCACTTCTGCAGCTTCATCCAAGGACCAGGCTGGTGGAGATTCTTCATCTAAGAACCGTCAAATAGCCCCTGGGCAATTTGTGGTTACAACTGCCCCTAATTTACAGAATCAGCAGGTTTTGGCCAGTCTTCAGAGTGTCATGCCCAATATTCAGTATCAAGTCATACCACAATTCCAGACAATGGATGGACAGCAGCTTCAGTTTACCACTGCTCCTGCTCAGGTCAATGTCCAGCAGGATGCCTCAGGCCAGTTACAGATAATCCCAGCTTCTAACCAGCAAATAATCACAACAAACCGCACTGGTGCAGGAAACATACTTGCCTCAATGCCTAATTTACTACAGCAAGCTGTCCCTATTCAAGGAATGAACATCTCCAACAATGTCCTCTCCGGGCAGACTCAGTATTTAACAAATGTCCCTGTTGCTCTCAATGGCAACATCACACTGCTTCCTGTGAATGCAGCATCTCTAGCACCCACATCACAATCTGTGACCCTTAGTGGTTCTCAGGAAAATGGCTCACAACCAGTTACTTCTGTGGCTATTAGCTCATCTGGCCAGCTGGTCACATCCCAAAGCAATGCATTCTTTACCAATGCCAACAGTTATTCTACCAGCACCACTCCTACTAATGCGTGCATAGTGAATTGCAGCAGTGCAAACACACAAGGGACCAATGTCCAAATCCAGGCATCTCAACGATCAAGTGGCCAGCTGAACTTGGTCAGTGACTCACAGCAAAATAGCGGCACTCTCCAAGGTCAGCAGAAAGACACAGACCAAGCGCAACAGCAGCAGCAGCAAATTCTTATTCAACCACAGATCTTGCAGGGAGGTCAGACTATTCAGACTCTGCAGGCTGCTCAGCTGGGTGGTCAGACATTCAGCACACAAGCAATCTCCCAAGAAGCACTTCAAAATCTCCAATTCCAGACCGTTCCAAACACTGGACCCATCATTATTCGTACACCCACTGTTGGGCCTAATGGGCAGGTCACTTGGCAAACTATCCAGCTTCAGAATCTTCAGGTTCAAAATCCTCAAGCTCAGACAATCACTCTTGCTCCTATGCAAGGAGTTTCTTTGGGGCAGTCTGGCACTACATCCACCCTCACTTCCATGCCTGCTGGCACTGTAACAGTTAATGCTGCTCAACTCTCATCGATGTCTGGTTTGCAGACCATTAACTTGGGTGCCTTAGGAGCTTCAGGTATTCAAGTGCACCAGCTTCAAGGAGTTCCTTTAACAATCACTAATGCAGGAGGTGAGTTTTTTTCCATTTGTATATTCAAGAAAATCTGACAATGCTCTTCATCTGAGATCTTCCCCTTAAATTATAATGGGTATGTTAACGCCTAAAAGTTTTCAGTATTGAGCAACTGAGAACTTTTGTATCTCTGCTCATTTTAAATAAAAGTTAAGCATAACCGTAATTGTTTAATATCTAAAATGTAATTCAGTGTTTTTTAACTTGTATCACCATTTCCATGTTCCTGTCTGATGTGTAGTATATTAATCAGTTGCGTTCCCAGCTAGCTTTATAAAGAAATAGAACATAAGCAAATGTTACTGTTTTTACAGCTTGCTTTGCAGATTTTATACTTCTACTTAGAAACTATAATATGCACAGTCAGGGGACTGGATTTGGCACATGCTAGCACTAAAACCGTTATATTGATAGTGGTGTTTAATGGCCATGAATCCATCACAATCTGTAACCTAAGAGCATGAAAATGAATAGTACGGAGACAAATATTTTATTTGTATGCCTTATATTTTTATATAATTTGCAGATATATATTCCATTGTGTCTATGATGCACAGAAATTTTAAGTTCTGTGTGCGTGCTCTAAAAGATTTAGATTTGTGTATTTAAAAACTTTAAATATATATGCATCACATGTATGTCCTGAGAAATCATAGACATCGTGTTTCTGCAGCCATACCAGAGATCCTAGCTTGACATGCAAATGAGCACAGACAAGCATTGTGTTTGAGAACTTACACTGAATTTCTGCAGGTATCCTTTACAATGGACACGGTTTTAAACCATAGTGTGGATTACGATATATCTTCACTCCCAATTTTTGAACGGCCTGCCTCTTCCTCAGGTATTGAGTGAGAAACACGCAAACGTCTCTAGCGTCAATGAGACACCCGCTTTAGAGGCTGGATTAACTCATTTATAAACATAGCAGTTTCTCTCAAAAAAAGGTTTATAAAAAATGTTTATAAAAAAAAAAATGGGTTAATCCTAGCTGGACCTGGCACCCAGACCACTTCATTAAGCTGAGGTGGTCTCGGTGGCTAGAGTGGTCCTTTAACGTTAATGCACTGGGAAAACAGGTACATTTACAAATTGGGTGTTTTTTTTTTTGTTTTTTGTTTTTTTAATAAAACAAGGGTTGGTGGGCTGAATATAAAAGTGTAAAACACTTTAATTTACAAAAAACACTTAATTATTCTGACATATGGTGGCAGTACGTATGGGTTGTTTCTTAACTGGGACAAGCATCTGCAAGATAGGTCACTAAGAAAAGTCCCTCCCCTCTACCATATAAATGGCTTTCTCCGGCACACCCACCTCAGTTCTTCCTTGTCACAGCATGGGACGGATCAAGCGTCTGTTGAAGGTAAGACACACGGGTTGCTGTCTGTGGGAGGAAGCCCGATGGCCTCCTGGGTGGTAGGCTGAGCAGCATGGCTCGGTCTGTGTAGGTTCCGGAGCCCTTTCTGTTTTACTTTGCGCCTAGTATGTTTCGGCTTGTTAAGTTTGTTGCAGGCCGTGCGTCTGCGCACAGCTGTGGAATGCACGCTCGGCTGGCAGCAGGAAGTTTGTCAGAAGGGTTGCCCTTGTCACCAAACTCCCACGACTCAGGTTTTCAAGGTAAGATTAGCTGATCTTTGCTTTGAAAATCTGTTCTGCTAAAAATGGCAAGTTATGGGTGGAATTGTTTTGCAGAAAGTGGACTGTTTGTACACTGTGAAATGCCTCTGCTATACAAGGCTTTTGCTTATTTTATCTGTGCTGCTCCCCTTAATATGGTTCTGGGGTTCATAAATATGACCAAGGTGCTGCAATTTCTTGGGTAAACTTTAAGCAGAGAATATGCAATAATTCAGATCTTTTGAATTCTTATAGAGAATCAAATAATCTTACACAGAGACAGAAGAGAAGCGTCTGATTACTTCTAATGTCTGGCAAATGTTTATCTACCTCTTTTAAAGACCTGTCTGGTTCATGATACTGTGTGGAGTTGGTTTCCCACCTGATGTACTGAGAAGGTTCATTAGGAATGAATTAGTCATGGGGCAGGATAAATCTGCTAAACTTTTTTTAATGAGGGTTATCTGTTCTCAAGCCCTCTTGCAGACGAGCTTTCCAGACTGCTGGGTTTCGGTATGGGTCTTTGCTGGCAGGTGCAGAGGTCTCCAGAACTTAAACTTTGTTTACAATCGTTATTGGCGGTTATTTAAGTCTCTTGATAAGCAACTTGCCAGTTTCCTGTTTTTATTTGAGATTGTCACATACTTTATATGGATTTGACTAATAAAATTTGACAATGACTGGTTGATCTGCTGTTTCCCTTATATCCTGGTGGCTTAAGCTTGGACAGCAGATCAGCGTCCTTTTCGGTCCCCTGTTTACTTCCATTAGGAAAAGGAGTATCTTTGTCGAGGGGAAAAAAAAAAAAAGTTTTGTATGCCAAGAAGCTTGGAGGTGTAATCCTACATTTCTATACTAAGTGTGGATAGCTCAGTGTGTTCAATCCTTGGGGGCTCACAGGTTCATTTCCCCTGCAGGGTTGACTTAGCCCTTCATCCCCTTGAGGTAGATGACTGGAGTACCATTCAATGGAGTCACTTAACATTCCAAGGATGCATTTGGGAACCAGTATATATCTGAATCTCTCTTGTTTGGCTTTTAAGTAGAACCTACTTGCAATCCCTGGTTTCTTGATCTAGTTAAAGAGGGCACTGCTTGCTCTTTTCAAATCTGCCCAATCCATAATCTTCTGAACATCTGATACTCTATTTATTTATTTACCGAAACAGTGTTCCTGTTGGACTCAAGACGTTTGAGATATGGTTCTGTGAACCAAGAAGTCTGTTCTGTTCCTCAGGAATCTCCTGGTTATCAAACTCGTTCATCCCTTAAACTGGTTATCAATTTAAATTAATTGGTTCCCCTCCTGAGGTTCAGAATCGAAACTTCTGCTTCTGCAGAAAGGAATTTCATGGTGTATTTAGATCAGAGAGATACTCCCATATATCCCTATTGCGGCCCCTCAAGTTTTCTGAAAATACGCCATAACAAGTGGATTGAAGAGATTTCATTGCTCTTCTAAATACAGCAATTTTTAGGGAACGAGGCATTCCCTACTTGGGAGTTTGGCTACTTATTACTAATCGGTACGGTTGCCATTTAAGTATGTTCAGGTAGCTAGTAGAACGCTACAACAACACTGTTAGATACAGACACTATTATGTATTTTCTTCTTCTCCAAGAAACATAGGTTCATGTTAACCTTAAAACATTACCTCTGCATCTACTGCACTTATAAAGGAAAGGTCCAAATCTAATATAGCGACCATTCCTCCATAAGAACAGGAAATGAGATTGCTGGGATGTCTCTGACATCTTCAATTCCTGCGGTCAACTGGGCAAAATCTGGTTTTGGCTGCTACAGTGAAGAATTCTCTCCTCTGGGTCAAAGTGTGAAAATCTTGGATTTCTGTCTCATAGAATCTCTTCAAAAAAAGTGGAAGATCGGCTTATCTGGTGGACAGTGTCAAGTATTTGGTTGTTTGTTTTTTTTTTTTTTTTCAGCCTATAAAAGGAGTAATTTTCACCACAGAATGCATCTAACACAGACTGGGTCGCTTGTCTAAATTCTCTAATGTGCCAGTGTTCTTGATCCATAGAAAAATAGTCCACTAATTTCAGAGCTCTTAAGGCAGTTCTTCACTCCCTCACCGATTCAGATCTTGGTTGATTTGAGGGACCTATTACAAGGCGGTCAGACCACGACACTGTTTCCCTCATGTCAACAGACAGGATGGTGCCAGAGGAAAAGTCTGTTTCAGCTATGTGCCAAAACGGTGTACTGAGCTCAGGATCTCTGGGAGGTCCTCTCTCCATTTCACTCATGATGTGTTGACAATATCTTCACCTACAACCTCAGCACAAGAAATTAGGTTCAAGAGTAATGGTCTATAGATCCGATCATGTTTATAGAGAGATTTGGAGTGCCCAGATAGACTTTATGGCAGAGGGAGAACATGAAGATTCTCAGGTTTGCCTTTCTGTACAGGACTGTTAATGTTGAATAGTTGGTCTATCTAAGGCAGGGGTCCTCAAACTTTTTAAACAGGGAGCCAGTTCACGGTCCCTCAGACACTGTTGGGGGCCGGACTATAAAAAATATTAACGAATTCCTATGTACACAAACTCGCATAAGGAGATATATATAGATATATACACACTCATACTCACTCTGACCTACATACATCCTTTTTTTTTTTTTTTTTTTCAGGAGGGTGGCGGCGTTGGCTGATGGGAGTCGGCCTGGCTCTCTTACCTCCCTCCCGTGCGAAGGGAGCTGGGAGGAAGTGACCCCCGCCCGTCACTTCCTCCCAGCACTACTTTGCAGCTGCCACAGCGCTGACCAGGCCCCTGAAGAAATAGGGCCCATCGGGTGGCCCTGAGTGCTTTGGCCGGGTTCGGCCCACGTGCCATAGTTTGAGGATCCCTGATCTAAGGGTATTTCTCCAGGCTTACGTTTTTTTTTTTTTTTTCTTCTATAGACTGTTCCCAAGACTTCTTCAAAAGAGGTGAACGGACAGCGCAATGGTTCTGCCAGTCTTTCCGTACTGGCCAAACATGAGCCAGTTTTTGGCCTTTGTGGAAATGACTTTCAAGTTTGGGCATCTTCCGATCTCAAACTCTTTTGGAAGACAGGATATCCTGCTGGAAGTGAATAGGTTCTTACGGACGGTAGGGCAAATGCATGGTGGATCCTTCATCTCCTGAGTCTTCATGAGTCAGAGTCCACTTGTTGCATATAATCTTCTAGTCGTTCTGCCTCTAACTTTTACATGAGTATTTGGGTAGTTTACATTCTACATTGTTGTAAGGAATGTCATTGTCTTCTAGTTAATTTGTCTGGTTCAAATTTACACTTCCTGCAGGAGATTTCCACAGGTTGGGCGTTTCCACATTAAGACCGAATTGTATTCCCCAAGTTCTTTCTGAGAAGGGATTGGTCTTCGTTTGTACTGGTTAGAAGTTTCTTTAAAGCAATGGGCTTCTTAGGCCACCCAGGAAGTTCTGTTTCCCTCCTGGGATCTTTCTTCATTCTTTCAGGTCCTCTTTTACTTTGGAGGGGGTTCCTTTTAATATGCTAATGCTTAACCAGCATTCTTAGTGGCCATTACCTCTGCCAAGAGAGTAAACAAGCTTCCAGATATATCTTCTTCAGTGTAATTTCTTCTATTCCATCAGGGTGAAAGTTGTTTCATTCTAAAACTTCAATTCTTCCAAAGTTCTCTTTAGAGCTGTTAACCAGCTCATCCTTCTATAATTATGCCATCTCCTCGCTGGAACTAGATAGTATATTCTAGAATTAAAATAAGGGCATTTCAGATGTACCTATCAATATCAGCTGAATTCAGAAGATCAGATCACCAGTTGTCAACTTCTAGGAAGTTTTAAAGGGTTTAAAGCCTCTCTTAATTCTAGTTCTCATTAATTCGTCAATCATAAGGCCTATGCTTCAGTAGTTTTGCTTTGACAGCGCATTCACCCAAAGGCAATGGCCACTTTGTGGGCAGAGAAAAGCTCTTCACCTGAAGAAATCCGCATGGCTCATTCTTGGTCAACTTTTAGCACCTTAAATGTCAGACATTTTCAGGCTAGATGTACGCTCTGCCTCTAAAATTGCGTTAGGGCGTAGGTACTTCAAGCTGTTTAGGCATAAGGTCCATCTAATTTGGAATCTTGCTTTAACCCAAACGTTCAGATCTCCCTCCCTCTAAATTACGATTTTGCTTCGTGTGTGTATTCATGCTAAGACTGAGGTGGGTTTGCCGGAGGAAACCCTTTATAGGGTAAAGGGGAAAGACTTTTCTTAATCACCTATCTTGCAGATAGATGCTTGTCCCAATTAGGAAGCACAACCCATACGTACTGCTGCCACATTAAGAAAAAAAGAATTCATGGAGAGTAAAAATTTCTGTTTTTGCTTGTTTAAGGAAAAAAAAAATATTTTCCATTTCCTGTTGCACCCAGTCCTCACATCCCTCGCTCTTTGTCTTGTCAGTCACAACCATTTCATTTCTCAGAATGTAATGGTTTCAAGGTGCAGGTTAATGAAAACCTGACCAGGACGCATGAATGGCTTTCTTGGCTGAAAGCAAGTTAGGTTAGAGATTTACTTCAGATAAGTTTCAAATGTATCTTTTTCTGTTATTATTGGTATTTATATGGTGCCAACTAATTCCACAGCGCTTTACAATATAATGAAGGGGGGTGGGGGAGGGAATTTACAATAAATGAGACAATTACACAAGAACAATACGTAGATGAGGGCCTTGCTCAAACGAGCTTACAGTCTAGATATTATTTTTCTTGAGCCACAAGGTATTGCTGCAGTTGTCCAACACTTTAGACCTGCAATATTATAGCTATTTTTGTGTACCACTGGATATTATCCTTCAATTTGTATTACACATTTCTTGCCATGTGGATTTATTATCCACTCATTTTTATTGATAAATCAAAACTTAAAGGACCACTCTAGGCACCCAGACCACTTCAGCTTAATGAAGTGGTCTGGGTGCCTGGTCCAGTTAGGGTTAACCCATTTTTTAATAAACATAGCAGTTTCAGAGAAACTATGTTTATGAATGGGTTAAGCCTTCCCCCATTCCCTCTAGCGGCTGTCTCATTGACAGCCGCTAGAGGCGCTTGCGTGCTTCTCACTGTGATTTTCACAGTGAGCGCACGCAAGCGTCCATAGGAAAGCATTGATAATGCTTTCCTATGCGACCGGCTGAATGCGCGCGCAGGTCAGCCGACGGGGGGGATCGGAGGAGGAGAGCTCCACGCCCAGCGCTGGAAAAAGGCAAGTTTAACCCCCTTTCCAGAGCCAGGCGGGAGGGGGTCCCTGAGGGTGGGGGCACCCTCAGGGCACTATAGTGCCAGGAAAACAAGTGTTTTCCTGGCACTATAGTGGTCCTTTAATACACACAGGGAGCCAGATAGTAACAGTTTAGGAGCTCTATCTGCCTGTTTTTTTTTTTTGTTTTTTTTTGTGATTATTCAGTGCAAAGTGATGGCTTTAAATTTAGTTTTAGGAAGCAGAGCCAAAACTTGAGCCAGGTCTCAACACCATTCATAACATAAGTTTAAAGGGACACTATAGTCACAAGCACAAGAACAGCTTAATGTAGTTGTTCTGGTGAGTATAATCATTCCCTGCAGGCTTTTTTGCAGTAAGCAATGTATTTTCAGAGAAAATGCAGTGTTTACATAACAGCCTAGGAATACTTCCAGTGTCAACTCCTTAGATAGTTACTAGAAGTGCTTCCTGGTGCAATGCTGGAGATGCTGATTGGCCTCTTTGGCTGAGATCTTCAGAATTGACAATCTGAG